ATGTATATGTAGGTGTGCCTGTGTGTGTTTTTGTGTGTGCACGTGCATCTATCTGTGCGTACGTGTGTGAGTACGTTTATGTGTGGATGTTTGTTTCCCCGAATAAACGGATATATTGAACGAGCCAACCAATTAGTACAAGGCCAATAAACATTGTGTTATTGCTCACCCTGACAAGCCAGGCAGGTTACTCTTCTTACACCCGCTGTAGGAAAATCAACTGGTGAAAAAACCACACACCGACTATGGTCCAGTTCGTATAGATTTAGTATATTATTGGTAGAGATTGGAAAACGTCATTGAATACGATGGCATAGATCTCTGTGTAGCTAGATCTACAGAAAAAGGACTTTGCAATAAAATATGAATACAAGATTTCTGCCTCACCTCAAGTTGTTGTTGTTGTCAATCCGGCTATATTGGGCCTGGGAGAGGGAACATTAGACCCAGAGGAACACACAGGGTTGAATATATCTCACACGACACCATGGCGTGACCGTGACGTAGTCTCATCAGACAGTCACTGCTCACTCACACACCAAGTCTCACGTCTACTAGATCTAGAACGCGTGCATCGTTGCAAAACAGACACTTTCACTTCTATAACTCATTACAGTTTCAGCAACCGCGACCACTTGTTGTACAACTGCAGTTACAGCGACCACTGTCACTTCTACAGTTACAGTTTCAGCAACCGCGACCACTTGTACAACGACGCAAGTTTCACAATTTCAGCGAGGTTTCTGTCCGTTTGTTAGGAAAACGAAACCTCTTGGCAGGTACACACACACAGTCGAGGAGATGGCGCCCTCCCGTCCCACATCTAGATCTACTGCACGCGATTTCTAGTTTCGTTTTGTTTGCTTAAGATTACCGGGTTCACACTCATCTGGGAGACAAGCAGGCCCGAGCAGACGAGAGGAAGGGACTCCGGACGTCTGGATATCTCGTCTCTTCTGTCACGGAGTGGAGTCTCTCGACACACGGGTCATCTCTCACGGCACAGGACAGAGATACAGGCGACGACGGCAGGAGAAGAAGGAGGAGAAGATAGGAAGATCGGTGGTGATCATAGTTTACGTACGAACGTGCGTGTGAACACATACACGTATTACACATCCACACACGCACACAGTGGGTCGCCGCGTACGACGGACTGACTGATTGACTGAGTGACTGACTGACGGTAGGTACTTGGCACTGATCTTGATTTTGATAACATTGACGTACGTCGGAGTGGAGTCTTCACAATAGTGTACGCGCGCGCGCACACACATACACACAGCACTTAACTTCACTGGAATGTAAATCTATCTACCTACACTGGATGTGTCCTTTCCTCTGTGGAGATTTGAAAAAGCACACACAGTTCAACAAGAGAAGAAGAAGGAGAGAGCCTTGCCTAACTCCAGTACTTCCTGGCTCTGTTATTGCGTCTTGGCTGTGGGCAGCAGCAGCGGCAGCGGTGGTGGTGGGGGTATCGCGAGGACGAGAGTCGGGACTTTGAGATCGGGGTACGACGAGGCAGCAGGCGGCTGCTACGACCGTAGGGTAAGTCGCTCGCCGTAAAATTAGAATCTCCAACTCGGCCGCGCGTTTCGCTCGGCCTCACCGAGTTAATCCGGAGTTTGGAACCCGTTTCCCCGCGCGTCGGGGGCCCCTCGTGTGACAGCAGCGCCTGGAGTGTGAGGCCCGTATCGCACCGAGACCTGCTAGGCGTACAGACATCTACAGGACCAAAACGCCGAGCGTGGTAGGCTAGGGTCGGATCTCCCTCCCCCCTCTCTGTCCTCGGCCGACTTCAACTCTTCTCTTGTTGTGGACTCAGAGCACAAAAAAACTCCGCGAGACGCATGAAGAGGTCGTGAAGAGATTCGAAAAAGAAACAGAGGAAAAGATTCCTCCCCGCTACCTGTTGCTTATGCCGCCTTCGCGCAGACTTGCTGGAGAAGAGGATTACAACCAGAGGTTTTCGCTCTCGTTACGTGCACATTTCTTTTTCTTATTGTTCCTGCTCGCGTGTGTGTGTGCGCGAGTGCGTGTTTGTGTGTGACGATTCGGTGGCTGGCTGTCGACTCGAAGGAGCCACCACAGAGGAGTGAGGTCTTGCCTATCTACGCTGGGATTTTTCTGGCATGGAGTTCCGAGATTCAAAGTTTTTACCGATGGCAGTGGCTGTATTAGATCTACGTTGTGAAGTTCATGGGCTGTAGGAACGAGGGAAAATTTCTTCGTAGCCTACTGCGCAGAAAACAATTAATTGTGCGTTTCGTAAGTAAAAGTGTAATGAATTAGATTCTATGCTTAGGTATGGCGTTAGTATAAGAGAATTCATAAATAATTCTAAAAACTGACCTCATTGTTTCAAACTCCCTTGAGAACGGAGTCGTTTTCAGCTGTACGTTTTATTCACTCTCAGAATAAATTAATGACAAGAAGGAATATGTGATAATGACAAAGAATACCATTGTGACAAGAAAAATAACAAGATGGTTATGTTTCAACACTCGGATTTGAATTTCTCTTTCTTCAAATCTCATCTGCTAGAAATAGAAACATCGTTTTCGTAATAATCTAGATCTATTTAAATCAGAAATAAAAACCAACAGCATACTCCCAAACTATGGCGGGGGTGAGTTCGTTCACGGTCATCTGTCTGCTTCTGTGTGTCGCCACTGACCGCTGTTGTGAGCCCGACACCGAGACGGGTCATGCCCAGACTACAACTCACCAAAACTCTTCACCATCAACGGGAGTTGGATCTAGCCGTTACGTTCAAAACGCTGGGGTTCCAAACCCAGGAAACCCTGACGGCGGGGGTGGTGGTGGTGTAGTTTTGGATCCCTGGCAGAATGAGGAGGAAGGTTCTAGTAGATCTAGATCTAGTAGAGTGATTCTTGACCAGGAGGTTTACATTCCGGATTACACGAGGATTCTCACATTGGATATCATACCGCGGGTTGATGTGAGTACACAATCTTTTTTTTTGGTAATCCCTTGCCCATTTATATATGAGATTGTGGGTGGTTGGCGGGTGCTCTGGTGTGGTTTGCTTCTTCTTTCCTATGAAACATCTATCGTCCTTATCTCTCCTTCTTCATTTTTATGTTTGTTACTCTCTTGTATACCTCTAATCTTCTGGCGTTCATATGACCTTATGCGGTTGCGAGCGCCGTAAAACCTCTACTAAAACTAATATATGAGATTGAGTCGACGCCATCTGATTAGTACAATGCGTATGATAGTGTCCGATTGTGTATTACGTGCATACTTAGTATGACATGTAACTGTTACAGATAGAGATTCCATGATTATAGATGTAAGTCGTTGATCTGACCTGCAATGGTGATTTTAGAAATAATGGTAGTTGTGAGTGATGATGTGGGATTGCGTTAGCTCTAGATCTAGTCCTATCTCTATCTCCCTATGCCCTAATGGGTCATGAGGGGCCTGGGCACCCTCTATCCCGTTCCCTACTGCAACCAATGTGACTTCTGACAAGTTGGATATTATGGCACACATAGCATACAGACAGAAATAAAACACATGAGAAACGGTTACGCCTTTTGAAATTTTTATGCACCCCTGCTCCCCAAACTTGCATAACCTGTCACACACACACACACACACACACACACACACACACACACACACACACACAC